AAAAAAATTAAAATTATTCACAACACCATACGATTGTTGATGATGATGATGACTACCAACAATATTAGTTAATGGCGGTGGCAATGGTGGTGGTGGATAAGAGAAAACTGTTGGTGGTGGAACATTTGGTAATGGTAATGGACGGTGATGAGTTTTAGTTGGTATAGATGAAGGCATCGTTGTTTGTTGTTGTTGTTGAAATAAAGCTGCTATACGTTCATCTAAACTTGGACGATGATCTTCATCATCAATTTGTTGTTTAGAATTTATTGCTCGAGAATTATGCGTTAGTTTTTGATTATGACTATTTGTCGATGAATAACTTGATTTTGATGATGAAGATGAAGACCTTGAATAAGATCTTGATGTTGAACTTGATCTTGATGTTGAAGATGAGGTTGATGATGAACGTGAAGTAGATGATGATGTTGCACTACTACTTGTTTTTCGTCGTCGTCGACGTTGTTGAGAATGTGGACGATGATGATGTGCTCGACGAGAAGATCGACGAGATGATGATGAAGATTTATAATTATTACTATTATTACCGAATGATCCATATGGATCAAAAGAAAATTGTTCGGTATTATCATTGACGGAATGATGACCACCTCGCGAATCATATCGAGATGATGATGATGTTGATTGAACTAAATATAAAAATATGAGAATATTATATTTAATTCTAGTTTAATAATTAAAGAGCGTAATATTTATATATAAAATCGATGACAAAATATAAATTAGTTTAGATCAAAATTGAATTCTATGTGAATATGAGCAAAACTGATTATCGAGCATAATTTATCAACTAAAGTAGTAATAATACTTTTATACTGATAAGATTTAACATCATTTCGATGTTTTTGCTGAATATTTTGTTTAAATGAAGGCACTGAAAAATATATATTTTAGGTTTTATTGTTCGATCAAAATGAATTGATGAAAAGAAAAAATATTCTTTAGTTTTTACTAACGTTTTGATGTTCGATGATGATCTCGCGATGAATGGGAATTTGATGGTTGAGAATAATTATTTGTTATTTTATGATTAATAGGTAATTGCATTGATATATGTGATCTTTCAGTTTGTTTATTAAGATTTAAATCCATGGAAGGTGGAGGAGATGCAGCAGCTGATGCAGCTAATGCTTTTTCTTGAGCAGCTTTTTCTTGTTCCTGTGCACGAATAATTGTCGCATATTGTTTTGTACGTTCTTGACCAAATGTTTCCAATGATACTGATATAATACTACCCATTTTACTTGTCATATTCAATGCATTTACACATTCTCGAGCAGCTTTTGTTGTTTTAAAAATTACCTTAAAAACATCGAAATCAATCAAACGAATAAATTTTTTATTGAAAAAAAAACATACTGTTCCTAATCCAAGATGTTTTTTAGTTTGTCGATCATAATATATCTTACAATCTTCTATATCACCAAAACGTTTACATGTATCAGTTAAAAATGTTTTTGTTATATTATCATTTAAATTGCGAAATGTTACTTCTTTAGCTGGAATAGCACCAACCCAGCAACGATCAAGCTAAAGAAGAATTTATGATTTATATTATTCGAACATTTTTGTCATTACTTTAAATTTTGGTACAGGTAAATCCTGATAAGATCGATCCAATCGAGTTGGAATACGTGGATCAACACATCCGGAAACATGAAGTGGTGTCTAAATAAATTAAATGTTTACTTTCAAAATAATTCAGTTCCTTCTTACTCCTTCGACATCTCCATTAGCATACAATCGTTTGTCTCCTGGATGAATTGCACTAAATAATACGAATAGATAGATTTTATTTTTAATTTATAAATTTTTCGCATACGGATCTCCTGCATAAAGTCGATAGTTTCGTCGTTTTTCATTGACAGGTATTTGGGACATTGAACACGTTGATGCTTCTATTGTTGATTTGTTTAAAGAAGTAACTAATAAAAATTTTCATATATTCATAGAATAAAAAAGTAAATAAATGAAAATTGTTCATACCATCGAACATATCGATTAAATGATAATTGTTTATTCTTCATTCATGAGAAAAAAAAACAAAAAGGGAAAAGAAAAATAAAATTTTATTCACTCAATCTGTCACGAAGACGAACAAGCAAATATAAAGAGTGTAGATAGTTTAGATTTTTTTTTTCATCAACGCGACACAATCAGACAACTAAAAAAAAATTTCGATCTATTCATTGGTCTAGAATGAAATAACATATTTATGCAAATGATTCAACTGACATCTACAAATGATTTTGATGATTCATCAAATGTATAAATAATCGTAAACATGTCATTTGGATAGAAGAAAAAAACAAAAAGAAAACATTTCAAACAAAAGATAACTTTCAACGATGCTTGATTATGGAAGTGTCGTTTTAACATTAAGTAATGTTTTGTTACCATCAGAAAAACTTTATCCAAATCCAACACCTTCGATGATTGAAGGTTTACCATATGATATCGAATATGATTTAAGATTAATCGGATGTGAACTTATACAAACAGCATGTTTATTATTAAAATTACCACAGGTAGATTTTATTAGATAATTTTCAATGGAAAATATTTAAGTGTTTTTTTGTGTTTTTAAAGACAGCAGTAGCGACAGGTCAAGTATTATTTCATCGTTATTTTTATTCATCATCATTTGTTCGTCGTCAAATGGAAATTGTTGCAATGGCTTGTACAAATCTTGCAGCTAAAATCGAAGAAAATGCTCGACGAATTCGAGATGTTGTGAATGTATTTCATCATATTAAACAAGTTCGATCAGGAAAGTAAGTAGAAATATGAATAAGAATAATTCGTTTTAAATAAAAAAAATTTTTCTTAGAAATATTCGTCCATTGTTAATCGATCAAACCTATATTGATAGAAAAAATGAAGTTATTAAAGCTGAAAGACGTTTACTGAAAGAACTTGGATTTTGTGTTTATGTTAAACATCCACATAAAGTAAATTTGATTTTAAAAATAATTTTATTGTATTTTATTTACTTATAGATGATAACAATGTATTTAAAAGTATTGGAAAAAGAACGTGAAAGACATTTAGTACAATATGCTTGGTAGGTATCTATAGAATTCATTATGACTTTTATTTCAAAAACATATATCTTTTTTTCATGATCTAAGTAAAAAGATATGATCTATGAAACTGTTTTAGATGAATTAACTTCTAAGTAAAACTATTAAACTAGAGACACAAACACTGACTTAAGACTGATTTAGTAAGAGTAAGATCTAGAATTTACTTTAAATCAGAACAGGAGTAACACCGTCATTTATCAGATGATAGAAGAAGACTTCTTTAAAAAAAATATCCAATATATTTCTTTTAATACAGGACACTACGATGGATCGAAATTTATAAAAGTTGTAAAGTATGAATTTCCATTTAACATATTTCTTCGAAAGAAAAAAGATTGTAGCTAATAATAATTTAATCTATTAGTTAAACATTTCTCTTGATAGATTAATCTTGGACTCAGAGATGAAATCAGTGTGAACTTTTGATTCGAATGATATATCGATACTAGTCCAATATCTATCCTTGATTTCTTTACAGAATTTTTGTTGTCTTTATTTAAATATATTTTTCTCTCTTAGTAGTATATTCCATATATATATATAATAAAGTATGAAGAAAATCTGTTTGATCGATTTTAATTTATTTCTACTTTCTCATTCTTAATTTATAAAATAAATCAATTTCTTGTCTTTCGTCCAGATATATGGAAAATTGACGCGTATATAACCGTTCATATGGTCGGAATATATGCATATTCAACGTCGGGTCGTTTCTTCAACACTCGACTTTAAAATCTCAAGTATCGGTCGGTAATGTTTTTATATTTTCTTATTCATTCATATCGGTGTATACATATATAAATATATCTATATACTCTCTACTTTTCTAGTTCAATCAATAAATGGTTTGTTTGTTATGTTTGATTTTTAGATTTTAGTATATTGAATAAAGCGATTAGAAAAATAGGGAAATTTGCATATAATTTAATCCTTTTTATATATTTTTAGATTTTGCGGATATTATTATCATTTTCAAACATTAAAATTCTGTTGTTTTTCTTTACATCTTCGTTTATTTTGACTTTCAAAACCAAACATAACAAATAATCTATTTATTCAAAACAAATTTGAGAATATTTTTCATTACCGATATACCGATACTTGATTGAGTTCGTTTTTCTTGAGAAGAATATAGAAAAAACATTCCAAAATTCATAATTCTTTTAGAAATTTAATTACATGTTGTTTTTTGCTTATATTTAGGAATTATATGAATGATAGTTTACGTACGGATATTTTTCTACGTTTTACTCCGGAAACAATTGCTTGTGCATGTATTGATTTAGCTGCACGTACTTTACAAGTAAATTGAAATCATACGAACTAAAATGATTTGATTTTATAATCTGTTTTTCATTAGATTACATTACCTAAAAGCCCTCCATGGTTTATTATATTCGGTGCAAGACAATCAGAAATTCATTTTATAATGATAGCTATTCTTCGTCTATATGAACATCGACCAGTAAGAAATGGTTAAGAACTTTTTTCTATTAAAATTATTTTTCTTAATATTAGAAATCTCTTGATGAATTGGAAAAACTTGTGAATACTATTCGTGAAAAAAGAGATAATGATCGAAAACAAATTCGATCAGATTTAATTCAATCAACAGAATTGGGTAATGATTCACCATCACAACAAATTGCTCAAAATTCTATATCATCAACAGTAATCAATACAACAACAATGACTACAACTTTTATACAACAAGATGGTATGAAAATATTATTTTCATTATTGAATCGAAGTTCATGAATAATTTTAGCTTCAACTGTGATTGCAACAACACAAGAAATAACAAATGTAACGACAACAACTACAAATGGAAAGATTATAAAAAAACGTGATAGAGGAAGTTCAAGAGAATCATCAACAGTGAATACACATCGACATCATCGATCGAGAAGAAAACGAAGTAGTACAAGAAGCAGGTAAATTACATGATATCTATAACAGATTTGAAATCGCGCTGTCCTGTTGTTTTACTAAGAATCAAAAAATTGAAATACGAATGTTTTTCTTTTTATTAGATCATCATCTCGATCAACATCTCGTTCGTCAGTTCATCGTTCACAAAAGAAAAAGAAAACTTCTCGGCGAAGTCGTTCACGATCTCGGTAATAATAATAGATATTAGAATTAATTCTTATTATTGTAAATATTTTCATTTAGTTCATCCACACCTAAAAGACGAAAACATCAAAAAGAGAAACGACATCGTAGTCGTTCGTCAAATCGTCGAAAGAAAGATAAAAAACGTCGATCACGTTCTTCTTCACCTGAAGAAAGGTAAATTTATCTTTCACCTTCAACGAAACCACACATTCTTTCTTCTTCTCTAGTCAATATTCTACTACTAACAAACATCCACTTTCAACGAAAGACACAAATAATAATCTTCATCAACGTTCACATCATCATCATCATTCATCCAAACATTCAAATGGTGTTTCTTCATCATCAAATAAAAAATTGAAAAACTAGTCATTTAAATATTAGAAGTTTATGTACAGATAGTTCAGCGTCTTTGTTATTTGTCATTTCACATTACATTTTGTTTCTCTTGCACAAAAAAAAGAAGAAAAAAAAAAATAAAACTAAAAATAAGTTTATTAAAAAATCTTTTTTTACTTTATATAAAATTCGGCATTTTAGCAAAAAGGCCTTGTAGATAGTTTTGTATTAATAGTTAAGACAAAAAGAAAGAACGATACTATTTTATGTCAAAATTAAACGATACAAAATTATATGAAGCAACGAAACGTTTGGAAAAGCGTTTAAAAGATCGTGAAGATGAATATGTCACTTATAAACAATTTCATATTCTTGTTGGAACATTTAATGTTAATAATCGACAACCACCATCGGATACTTTACTTGAAGAATGGCTTTATCGTGTAACGAATAACGATGATCGTAAACAACAAATTCTACCGGATATAATTGCTGTTGGTTTTCAAGAAATCGATACAAGTGGTGGTGCATATATCTATGATGATAGAAAACGAGAAGATGAATGGGAACGTATTGTACGAAAAACAATTAAAGCTTGTTATAAACCAAAAGATGACAGTCATAAATTTCAATTACTAAATCGTATTAGACTTATGGGTAAGTTGAATATGACATAGATATTTAAAAAAAACTATGTATCGCTAAATTATTGAATATTTATAAAAATTATATTTAGGTATTTTACTATTTGTATATGTACGTACGCCACATATGGCAAAATGTACATCAATTTCTCGTTCATCAGTTCCAACTGGTTTTATGGGTCTTGCTGGTAATAAAGGTGGTGTTGGTATTAGTTTTAATTTTTATCAAACACAAGTTTGTTTTATTAATTGTCATTTTGCATCGGGTGATGGACAAACACAAAAACGTAATGAAGATTATCAGACAATAGAATCACGTATGACATTTACGGATGCACCTACATATTCTCTGAAAGATTATATTTGGTATACACCAACAACAGCTGGCAGTTCTGCACCTAATCCTCAAACATCATCGGTTCCGACACGATAGTGAGTAAAAATTTATTTCAAAACTTGATTTTTAAATCTAATTTCTTCTAGTTGGAAAATAAACGATCATGATATTATATTTTGGTTTGGTGATATGAATTATCGTATATCTCAACCAAATGAGCAAGTTCGCAAAGCTATTAGTGAAGTATCAACTATTCCATTACATGAAAAAGATCAATTACGTTGTGAAATGAAATTAAGTCGTGTATTTACAAATTATTTTGAACCACCTATTGATTTTATGCCAACCTATAAATTCGATACGAATACCGATCATTATGATACTAGTGAAAAAATGCGTACACCATCATGGACTGATCGTATATTATATCATGCAAAACGTTCAAAAATTCGTCAGAATAATGATAAAGAATTTGAATTAATTCAAACAATACATTATTCATGTGCTAAAACAATTAGATTTAGTGATCATCGTCCAGTTAGTGGTCTTTATCAAGTTGCTATTAAATCTGAATGTGATGAGAAACGTTTAAATCGTATACGTGAAGAATTAATACGTGAATTAGATCGTGAAGAAAATGATTCTATACCAACAATTGAAGTGCGTCCACGTCCACCAGCAATTGTATTTGATAATATACGTTATTTAGACAAAGTTACTTATTCATTATTAATAAAAAATATTGGTGAATGTCCATGTACATGTGGAATATATCCATCAGCAATGTTTGAACCAACACGTCCAATAAAATCAAAACGTATATTTGAAGATCCATTTTTTAATTGTTTAACATTTACACCTAATTCACCTTATACAATAGAGATAGGTAAACAACAGTCGATTGATATTAGTTTTCAAATGAAAAGTCAAAATTCATGGGTTTTGGGAAAGCAATTAAATGAAATTCTTATACTGCATGTAGAAAATGGTGCTGATACATTTATAACGGCAGATATTACAGTTGATATGGGTCCATTTGGTTTATCATTTGAACAATTTCCTCCAACATTATATGATAGTGAGAAAAAACAATATGTTTATGCAATAAATGATAAAACAACATCGGAACGTATATTTGAAATGAAAAATGATCCACCAGCACTTTATATATCATTAATTGATTGTTTAAAAGATCGTAATGATATTAATTTACTTAATATATTTAATACTGAAGTTCAAGATTCTATTGATTTAATTCCAATACGTAATCAAATCTATGAACATAATTATAATTTTCAAGATTGTCAAACTATTCCATTATTTATGATACTTTTACATTTATTGCAATCATTACCTGAACCATTAATATCACGTGATATACAAGATAGAATATTACTAACAAATAATTCGTCAAATTTTCGTACTTATTATCTACCAAGTGGTTCATCTATGCAATCTCATATACCGAATGAAACAAATTCTGTACAACAACATGACATGGCAAAAGCTGTTGGTGCAACAATTGAATTATTAAAACCAAAAGAAAGAAATTTATTTTTTCGTTTTCTCTTACTTTTACAAAAATGTTGGCCAACATCCGAGCAATTAAAAAGAAGTGAAAATTCTAAAAATATTTTAAATGTTTGTATTGATATATTGACTCTTTCAATTTTACATGAACATGCTGATCGAAATCAACGCCATACATTTCTATTAGCTTGTCTCAACGAAGAAAAAAAGAAACACTCGAAATAAAATATATATATTTTTTCTTCTTACGTCAGTTTTATTGTCATTCCGAAAGTAATATTCCTTTTTTTTTCATAAATTTATCGAGAGCAATATTTTATTTTCCTTCTTTATTTAACAAAAAATAGTTATCATGACAAAAAACAAATGTATTGATTTTTTCCGAGAATGAAATTTAAAGCAATATACATAACAATTTTTCAAATAAATAAATTGTATGTCTTTGTGGATTTATTTATCAATGTTCAATATTTTAGCTGAATAATGCTTTCAATGTAAATATGCTCTCATTATGTTAATAATTATTTTATGAGAAACAAATAATTTAAGATAGGTGAATACAACAAGTAAATCGTGAAAAATTGGTTTTCGATGTTTTTTTGATCTTTGCCCCTCTTCACTCCGCCCCCTCCTCTCGTCATTATGGTCATTCAATAGACCTCAGATTTGAAGTCCCCGCACTGAAATGTCTTTTTCGAAAAATCGATTTTGAATGTTTTTTTGACCCTGCGGACACACAAGCAAGCAATCAGACAATTTATGTTTACTGAACTCTTCTCTACGAGAAAGAGAACTATTTGTTGTAATCGTGTATTCCGTCTCTTAATATTTATTCTCACCTCGTGGTTTTATTGTTTACATCATTTGAGTTTATGTATACGAATAAAACAATACATTTCATTTCTCATTGGTTTATCCAACTAATTTAATTCTCAATCAAGAACAAAAAATCACTGTTAATAATAAAATTAAACAATCAATGTGATACTTGACAAATGAACAACACAGTTTATGAAGAACGACTTTTTCGTTTAATAGCTGTTCGATTCGATCTTTTTATTGGTATTGATATTATTTCTGTTGTTTGAGACATTGTAAACCATGCATGTGAACTAACTTGTTGAATATTAGGACGTTTCTGCCAATCATATGTAAATATATGAAGAATAAGATTACGTGCAGATTGTTCACGTTCATTTTCATTTGGCCAATGTAATTGAAGTTTTTGATGCTAAATAAAAGAACAAAAGAAAAAACTTTAATACGAAAAACTTTTGAACAAACTTGTTTTAAAATTAATTGATTATTTTTATCTTCTTTAAATGGCATCTAATTGAAAATAATTTTCCCATATGAATATCTTATAAAATAATATGACTTACAACTCCAGTTACAAATATATATAAAATAACTCCAATAGCCCATACATCTGCTTTTTTTGCATCATATGGAAGTCCAAGTAAGATCTCTGGTGATACATATGCACGTGAACCACAATATGTTTTACTTAGATATTCTTTACATTTAAGTACATCTTTTGAAAAACCAAAATCACATAATTTCATATTATCTAAATATCGAAAATATATTATCTAATCATCTTGTAATCTTCCTACCATTGATATCAAGTAAAAGATTTTCTAATTTCAAATCACGATGTACAACTTCAAGTTCATGAAGATATTTAACTGCATCACATAATTGAGCAGACCATAATATTCGTTTTTGTTCAGGTATAGCACCAACTCGTTGAACATACGTTAAAAGATCACCTTGTGAAGCAAATTCAAGTATCTAATGAATAGCAACAAAAAAATGAAATAATCTAATATCTTTGAAATACATTTACCATAAAAATTTTTCCACATTCAATAAAATGATCATACATTTTAATAATATTTACATGATTAACACGTGACCAAATATCTAATTCACGTGGTAAAAATTTTTCTTGAAAATCTTTCGAAGCTCGTTGTGTATCGATTACCTAGGAAAATTTGTTTTGTAGAAATCAGAAGAAAAATAATTTTTCGATTTACTTTAATAGCAACTTGATGTTGATGACATATATCAAAACCTTCACGTACAGATGAAAATGAACCTTCACCTAATTTTTTTCGAAGAAAAATTTTTCTTTGAGCAAGTAATGCACGTTCAGTTGATTGTCGATATTGACGAATGATTCCACTTTGATCAATGTACGATTTCATTTCTGTTTCTTGAGAATATTTATATAATTTTGTTAAATTATTATTTGTTATAGATGATGTTGAAATTGGATTCGAAGGAAGAATAGTTGAAGATTTTTCTTCAGTATTTATTGTTGGTAATGGAGTTGATAATCGCATAGAAGTAGCAAGTGCCATAGGATTAAAGTTGATTTGTTTAGCTGACGGAAGAAATAGAAAACGACGAAACCACTTGATAAAACTAAATTGTTGTTGTTGTTGTGAACATGAAGATAATGATGATGTATTTAGTTGATTGTATTCAAAAATATCTTCATGATAAAGTTTTATAATTGTACACGGTGTTAAAGTAATTACAGATGGTGAATTTTCTATTACCATAGACAATGTCGAAAATACGACATGATTGGTAAAATATATAAATTTGAATGAATGAATGAAATAATCTTGTTGATTTGGAAACTTGAATTTTTTTTGTTAGTCAAATTTTTGGCGCGTCATTTTCTTATATACATAAATATAAACTTATTGATTTAATATTGAAAACAATGTTATATATTCAATTGTTAAGCTAGTTTTTTATAACAATAGTCAGTATACGAAGAGAAACATAATGAATAGTTAATAAGCTAGTATCGTTGTAAATCAAACAGATGATTGATCATATGTTCGCGCACATAATACATATGTGATTAACAGATATCATTATCTATTATTAAAAATTTGTTAACTTATACTTTTTATGACTATTTCGTATATATTCTAGTTAAAATGCACTTAATATATCTAACCAAGACTGTTTCAGTTGGAATAAATATATATCGACTACATTCGAAGTTATGAATAAAATTCATAGAAAAAACTTCATTTTCTAAGAACATCACATGCTTGAAACACTACCTATCAATTTGATAGATTTTCATTACTCTAATCACTTGTAATACTATTTAAATTTATTTTCAAAGATCAGGACCTTTATTTTTATGATTTTTATCATTAATATATAAAAGAGCAAAAATACAATTCAAACGATACTAATTTATTTTGTAAAAAAGCAAAGTGAATACATAGCGGGTAAATATATATGAGCAATTGTTTTGCGATCGGATTATTTTTAAGCAAAAACAATAAGAAAGATAAGAAAAAATATAATTAATACTGCAAATACTTTAATAATAAGCCATCGATTAGATTTCATCGACTCATTATATCGACTTAATTCTCTAATTGCATCTTCCGCATGGTTCCTAGCTTGTTCAACATTTATATCAATTCTAAATATATGCAAAAATTTGAAAAAAGTGAATCTTATGTTAGAAATCAAAAACTTTAGTATATTTTACTTCTCAATCGACTCTTTCTGTTCTTGTATTATAGTAGCTAATTGAGTAAGACTATCGCCAACTTCAACGATTGTTTGCTCGATGCGTTGCATTGTTTGCAAACGATATTCCATATCCTATATTATTTTAAAGATGATTTTATAAACATTTTAAACAATCATACTGTTTCATCTATTTTTTGCATTTGTTGTTTCAATGGCGAATGAAACCTTTGTTCAGAACCCATACTAATAATAGTAGCATCTTCATGTGCCGCATGATTATCATCACGAAAAAGTACCGAGGGTTGATCTAAGAAATTACAATTGTCGAAAGAATTTTTTTCATTTTTTAGCATTTTACTTGTTTTACTATTAGTAACTGATGAAGGGGCAGTCAATGATAATGAAACTGTACTTCTTGAAAAATTATCTCGACGTGTTTTTTGTTTTTTCATATTCTAAATTAATCAAAATATTATTTCTTTAATATGATTTGAAAATTACTTGAATTTGAGCATCACGAATTTCTTTAAACCCATTCGACATTGTCGTTATTTTCGACTAGAAAAATCGAGATATTCTCTATGTTCAAGAACAAAATAGATATGTATTTACTCGTAAAGTAGAAACAACTAAAGTGTTATGTGTCTTTGAATCTTCTGATTTGAACTGAGCAGTATTTTCAATGTACTTTAAATAGATAATTATACAAAAAATACATAAATTATTAGGAATAAAAAATAAATACTTGTTGAAGCAGTCCAATATGTAGATTTGAATTAGTAATATCCTGGTTTATTGACTGTGACAAGTCATCAATTTCCATTGTTTTATCATTGAATAATGACGAGTGTTTTGTCACTAGAGATAAAATGATATTAAAACAATTGATCTTTTAGAAAATAGTAAACGAACTTATTGCTAATTGTTCTAATTTTAAAAATATCTGTGAGAGATCTTCACCGACTTTCTTCACACTTTGCATGAAAACAACATGTTGCTTTATAACTGATTGAGGCTGTTGACGGCAATTGATCGAAGTATTAGGAGAAAAATTAAAAGCATCCTAAAATTCGAAATGAATCAATCGTTTGATATGAACAATTCTATTTTGCAACAATTCAATAAAATTGAGATTTTCTTCTAGGCCAGACTGTTGACTTGTTTTCTGCCATTGATCCACATACGTATTTGTCTAATACATTAGTAAAAATACTCGATTGTTTTATTGTTACAATTCTCATTTTTATTATACTACGAATAGAGTTGCAATCTGATGTCAAACTCTGTACAGAACTTATATTCATTATTTGACTATTTCGTCTATTCAACAATGAAAAGATAGAGATTTCAATAATATATACTTACTCTTCTACTAATAATTTGTTTCACAGTTTTTCCAAATTCATCCGTACGATCACGCGTGTTTAACATAATGTTCAATAGGAAAAATGATCACGACGATACTGGTGATGAATTATGAATAGTATTATTTAGAATTTATTCAGGAAGTGGATTACAAGTTATGATGATATATTTCTTATTGCATACAATCCAACAATAATGTTACTAATCGATATTGAAGAAATATACGCGAACTCATGGTTTATAAACGTGAACTTCGACCACTTGACGACGTGTCATATTTCCGACATCAAATGACTCAGACTGTTTCAAAAGTTTCGTTATTTCACAACGGTTTATTCATAAAAACAATCATCATCAAATTCATTTTCTTTTGAAAAACAATTTTTATCGATGTAACTATTAATAAACCATAGTCTAAATTCTGATCAATAGATATTCAAAGTTTTAATCTTTTTTAATAATAATCCTATTATTCCATACATTTTTATGGTTATATTATATTTAATATAAAACTATTATTCGTTAGAATAATTTTTCATAAATATCTTTCTGTAAAAAGGACAATTAAATTAAATTGATTCTATATATAAATATATAATTGGCTTGTAGAACTTCAAATGTTTTCTTTTATAGATGTCGTAAAAGAAAAGAATACGCAAAATTTCATTCGATAAAGATAAAGATATAGCAAACGTAGTAATAAAAAAACTCTTTTCATTTTCAGTTGCTAGGTTTCAATCATAATTTTTACATTGAAAAATGTCGCAGGATACAATTGTTTCATTTGATGAAAACATACTTCAATTACCTTCATGTTTAGCAATTCATACTCAACTTCGTCCTAGTTTAAATCGTTTCGAATTAAAAGATTATGTTGATCATATACAAAAATTATGTCAAACAAATCAATCGCATATATGTGGAATTATAAGAAAAAATCAATCGGAAACAATTGTTTTAGCATTAGCATTTTATCGAATACATCCAACAACGTATGATACAATACGTTTTGAAGTTCATGATTT